TAGCTCAGAAACAGATATGAGGGATTGATAGATGGATATTACTAAAAAGACTAGAGATAGCCCTAGACAATTTTGGCTCTTCACCTGCAACATTCCAATACTCTACAATCACAATGTTTACTCAGTCCATCAACCTCATAGAATCATTAATCTTAACATGAAACCACTTGCATGTTGAAACATGTTACTGAGTACAACTTAAATCCATATTCCTGGGCCTCAGTCACTCATATTCAGCTCAGAATAAGCCATGTTGGCACTGGGGACATGGCTCAGACAGTGAAAGTGTCTGCTACACAAGCATGAGGACCAAGTTTGGAATCCCAGCACTGATGTCTCACTGTCCTCACAGCATGATCCCTGAAGCTCACTGGCCAGACAGCCTAGTCTAATCAATAAACTCCAAATTCAGTGAGAGACTCTACCTCAAAAATTAAGTGAAGATGCCGGGCGTGGTGGCACACGCCTTTAATCCCAGCACTCGGGAGGCAGAGGCAGGCGGATCTCTGTGAGTTCGAGGCCAGCCTGGTCTCCAAAGCGAGTTCCAGGAAAGGCGCAAAGCTACAGAGAGAAACCTTGTCTCGAAAAAAACAAAAAACAAAACAAAAAAAAAAATTAAGTGAAGAGGCTAGATTAGATAGGGGTTAAGAGCACACTGCTATTACAGAGGACCTAAGTTTAGTTCCCAGTATCTACATCAGGCAGCAAACAACCACCTGTAACTCCAGCGCCAGGAAACTCAATGCTTTCTTCTGGCCTCTGTGGGCACCTGCACTCATATGCAGTTACCACCACCACCACACACACATACAAGCTAACAATTACTTGAAACTCCGGCTCCAGGGGATCTGATACCCTCTTCTAGACTTATTGGCATCTGTGCACATGTGACATCCACTCACACGAACACACATACTTCCATATTAAAAAAAAAATCTTCAAAAGATTCTGAACGCTTTTCTCTCACATGAGCGCGTGCGCGCACATGCACACACACACACACACACACACACACACACACACACACACACACACAAGAAATAAGCATGTTTATTCATATTTAAGTACTACATAATATATATATGCTTTGAAACACCAAATAGAACACATAAAATTTTTTGTTCTATGTATCACTTTAAAAAATAGCGCTAGAGGCTGGGCATAGTGGTGCGTGCACTCCTTTAATCCCAGCACTCAAAAGGCATAGCCAGGCAATTCAAAGCCAGCCAGATCTACAGTAAGTGCCAGGATAGCTAGGAATACATAGAGACCTTGTCTCAAAAAACAAACAAAAATAACCACGATCCCCCCCCCCCAAAAAAAGTAGGACTGACAATACAGTTCAGTGGTAAGTATGAACAAGGTAGAGAATAAAAAAATGTAAAGGGGCTAAGGAGGTGGCTCAGCCAATAAAGTGCTTGCCATAAAAGCATGAGGATATAAATTAAATTCCCAGTACACACATAAAAGCTGGGTGCTATAGTACAAACATGTAATTCCAGCACAGGAAGGCAAAGACAGGAAGATTCCGGTCCTCGCTGGCCATTCAGTCAAGCTCAATCAGCAACCTCCAGGTTCAATGAGAAAATACCTACTTCTTACGTATGTATCTAAAAAAGTTTAGACTTCCTCAAATAAACTGTGAGCCAGATGGATGGATGGATGGATGGATGGATGGATGGATGGATGGATGGATGGATTGGGGGGGGGGGGGGTTCAAGACAGGGTTTCTCTGTATAGTTTTGGTGCCTGTCTTGGATCTCGCTCTGTAGACCAGGCTGGCCTTGAAATCAGAGATCTGCCTGCCTCTGCCTCCCGAGTGCTGGGATTAAAGGCGTGCACCACCACCACCTGGCTGATAATTTTATTTTGATGGTGGTGGTGGTTTGTTTGGGGATTTGTCTGTCTGTCTGTCTGTCTGTTTGTTTGTTTGAGACCAGGTTTCACTATGGAACTCTGGCTGTCCTCAAACTCACAAGAGCTATGCCTCTGACTCCTGAATGCTAGGATTAAGGGCATGTACCACCACATCTTGGTTAATTTTTAAAAGACAAAAGAGGCTGGAGAGTTGGCTCAGCAGTTAAGAGCACTGGCTGCTCTTGTGGAGGAAAAAGGTTGATTCCTAGAAACTACATGGAGGCTCACAGCTGTCTACAACTCCAGTCCCAGGGGATCCAACACCCTCTTCCAGCCTCCTCAGGCAGCAGGCACACATGTGGTATCCAAATATACCTGCAGGCAAAAAAACCTATATGCATAAAATAATAAAATACTCACTTAAAAAGACAACAGCAAGTTGGTCACAGAAGTAGATATTACATAATAAAGAATGCTTTTATATAAACTAGTTAAGTAACAAGGGGTTTCCAAGGGATGATAGTTCAGGTACAACATATAGGACACTGTTTAAAGTAACCAGTGTAATAAGGTCTAAGCAGCTACACCTGTGACAAGTTTACTGTGATCAGTGAAATATAAGGAAAGTGTTATAGCATGGGCAGTTATACTCATCCTCATTGAATACGTCTGGTGTGATAACACATACATATAATCCCAACACCTGGGAAATGGACAGACAGTGAATCAGAGTACAAGGTCCTAAATAAAACACTGTCTCAAAAAAATTAGCCAAATGCTATTAATGTCTACTTCTGTTAAGTGTTAGAAGAATGGTATGGTAGGAAAAAAAAAAAAAAAAAAAAAAAAAAAAAAAAAAAAAAAAAAAAAAAAGGGCATCAGAGTCAGCAGATATGAGTTCAAACCAAATACTTATGTAACCTTCAATAGGCCAAGTTCTCTGAGTTTTGGTCTTCTCAATGCAAACAAAAACTTTTGAGGATAGTGTGAGAGCTAAAGTTATGTTTTAAGTTTTAATAACTGTGCTTAAGAGATCTATAAAAAAAAAATGCCTCTAACCTGTAAGCCCCCACTTGTCCAGGTAACTTCCTGGAATGCTGGGGGCTGTTATTGATGTAAGATAACAAGCCATATGTTTTCACTTCCATAAACAACGTTGGCTGCCCCAACTGCACAAGATGTGTTTGATCTCGACATGTACTCGAGACGGACTTAGGCAGGAAGTATGTCAGGATGTATGCTTGCACTTGATTGGACAAAGTCAGGAAGTACGGAGCCTTATAGGTTTTGCCCATATAAACACTGGGACTATTGGATATGGACTAGGCCAGTGTCCATAGTCCTGATCAGTATTTAATAAAGTTTACTTCAAATTTGGCTCAAGAAGTGTGGTAATGGTCTTTTCTAACCCAGTGGGATTAACAATAGTATAATATGTATGACCGCTAAACAGCAGATAAATAACGTAAATCAAGCATTTGGCACATGAAGTGGACCACTGCACTCCATCACCAGTAGTTATCCTTCATCTTCATCTCTCCAGCACAGACCTTTCACTCAGTAGAGTGCTGGTTATACTTCATAGGCTGTCCCTGGAGAAAGAAGCCAGGCTAGCAGCACTGGCTGCTGCCAAATATAGTTCAAGCTTTCAGCATTCCTTATGCAAAGTTATGAAAATATGTGCAATATCACTTTCCATTCTGCTCCTGCTTTATTTTCTCAAAAATGAAACAATCCTGCTCATTGGGTTTTTTTGTTTTGTTTTGTTTTTTTAATCCATTTCTTATCTATCTCCCCTAACAATACAAGCACTATAAAGGCAGGTACTCTGATCCATGCTGTACTACATATATAAAGCCCAAGTAATAGGAAAATTTCTCAAAAGTAAGGACAATGAAAAGTGTTACAATAAAAGATTAGGGGCTGCAGAGATGGCTCAGTGGTTAAAAGAATTTACTGCTCTAGAAGAGGACCCAGGGTTTGGTTTCCATCACCAACACTGTGGCTTACAACCATCTCTGACTCCAGTTCCAGATCCTATTAAGAATCTATTTAATAAGTAATAGGGATTTATTAAGATATAAATTGAAGAAATACACTCACAAACACAGAACAGAGTAGACAGCTGAAGTCTGATCTGACTGGGAGCAAATCTACCTTTCAGGCAGCAGGGAGAAGGGACATGTGACCCTTCTCTCTTTCCTTTTAAGAGGTCACAGAAGCAAGAAGCACCGCCTCCTTTGGGCCCTACACCTCAAGGTCACAGGCAGAGCAAATACCACTACATAGGGGAACCTCCTCTTCTGACCATCAAGGGCACCAGGCATGCATGTGGTATGCATACATACAAATAGGCAGAACACTCATATATATATAAATGAATAAATATTTTCATTTTTGAAAAGACTAGTCCAAACAGAACACTAGCAGCACTATCCCTGTTGTTTTATTTCATTTTCCAGACAAAAGAAATAATACGTATTATGAGTAATTTTCAAATGCTGAAATTAAAACAACAAACTACCCTACAACACTCAGCATAATTAATAAAAATAAAGGGGCTAGGCATGGTAATATATGCCTTTAATCCTAGCACTCAGGAGGAACATGCAAGCAGATCTCTGAGTTCCAGGCCAGCCTACTCTATATAATGAATTTCAGGTAAGCCAGGGTTATATCGTAAGGCCCTGTCTCAAAGGGAAAAAAAAATCAAAAATAAACAAAAGGGCCAGTGACATGGCTTAGAGGGGAAGGACGCTTGCTGCCAAGGCTGATGACCTAAATTTAATCTCCAGAACCCACATGATAGAAGGGGAGAACTAACTTCCTCAAGTTATCCTCTGACCTCCACAGACATACCATAGTACATGCTACATGCATGCCTCACAAACACAAATTAAATAAATATGTAAATAAATAAATGTAAAGTAAGTAAATAAAGTACAAACACTTCCATATAAAGGACAATATTCATAGATGTCTAGATGGAACACCATCCAAGGCAGAAATCTCATCATCCTTAATAGGAGAGGTACTTATTTTAGGATTATAGAAAAGGAAACAAATGGAACATTTATTACCATCTTTTTATTTTACTATTTTAGTTTACATACCCAGTCTCCCACACCTTGCATTTACTTTACCTGTATGAATTAACATCTGCAAACATTCTACGGAGTTGTGATAAGCTGCTTCATGAATTGGCATCCATCCCCTGTTATCAGCAACATCCACACTTCGACCTTTTTTGAGCAGTTTCCGTAAAATTTTAACATTGCCTGCTCTGGCAGCAAGTCCAACTGTAGAGCACGTGCCTGAGTAAGCCTCTGTAAAATCCATCCTTTTGATCAGTCTACAAAACAAGGCAGAAAGATAATACTAGTCAGTAAAACAACACTAAACTGGAAATCAGCACATCACAGTCTAGCATCTCACATGAGAAAAATAGGAGAAACTGTCATGCCCCACACAGCCTCTGCTATAGTCCAACCCAAATGTCTCTCATGTCACTTCCTAGCAATATTATTTAAATGACCGAGGTAGTTTTTACTTTCGGTCTTTCTCCCTCCGGGAATATCTGTCAGATCCTTCCTGTGGACTACCTATTCACACCACACCAAAACACAGAGACTCTACTACTAATGACCACTTGTGAATCCCATTTTACTACCCTCTGTAGGAAATAATTAAACCCGAAAAGGTCTTTAAAACAAAAAGAAAGGAATGAACAGTGTTTATTCATTAAAACAAGAATAAGTAAGAAACCTCATTTTCCTACTCTTGTTGGTCCTTTCCAGAAGTGGATAAACACTTGGGAGCTCAATCCTTCAAAGTGTCCGAATGAATACAACAAAGCCAACAAACAATAGCCAGATAGATAGCCCAGCCTTTATACACAAGTATCACTGCCTTCATCATAATCACCTCCCTTCAAGCTCATTTCATTTCATGTTCTCTGGCGATCAAAGTCCCACACAGATCTCAGTATATGACTCTCACAAACTATTAGCATATATATGTTGGGCTAAGATTCAGGATTCTCAGGCAAACAGTTATCTCCTAAGAAGTAACCTTCTCAGTTCTATTCCTATCCCACTTTTGATTTTTCCTAATGGTCCTTGGGAGAGGAGGCTTGTCAGAAAATGCCAATGTATCTAGCCCAATACTGATGAAAACTTTCTAGAACCATATTGTAAGTAATTTATCCAAAAATGGTTTGAAGAGGTTAAAAACAAGCAGAAAACAGTCTCAACAGTAAATTTAAACGTATGCATGGTCACCTTTAAAATAAAACTGTAACAGTAGAAGTTGATTCTATAACAAGCCGAACAGCCAATGTCAGCTACAAATTAATTTAATCGAACTGGGTGAAAAGGTCCATTACAGTAAGTGAAGATATTTATTAACAAACATTCAATCATTCAATTAGCAGTTATTTTTTAAGCACCAACTAAAAATGATCAGCAATGAGGACTATATACTCACAAATATCCTATCTCAAATTGTTTACAGTTTCAGAGGAATGATGAATATATGTGGTCCAACACAGAAAATGTAAAGTATCATCAAAGTAGAACAGATTGAAAGCCATATAAATTAAAGAAGAATTTGTGTTCACTTGGTAAGGGATTTGAGCTGTGCCATACTTAACAGGGAAGATTTCAAAATGAGAGACAATGGGCAGAAGAGCATTCCTAGACAGAATTGGAAAAGCATAAACTAAAAAGGAGGTGCATAGCCAAGGGAAAGGGACAATGAGTAAGAAAAACATGTCATGTTCGAAGAAGGATTAGAGAATCAAAAAAGAGTAGAAAAATAAGATTACAGAGGTAGCTTAAGGCCAAACTTGAGGATACTGAATGCTACTCTATGCTTTTCTGAACCATACTAACTTCTTGACAAAATAATTTCATGTAAAAGAAAATAACACTGATAATTTATAAGTGTGTTCATTTAAATAAAAGAAAACAAATTTCTATCTTGAAAACACACACACAAATCAACTTTTAAAATATTTAAAGAACAGAATTTGAATAAAAATAGGTAGGCATGATACCCTGTCCAACATTTACTGGTTTCTCTCTTGGCTACAGTGTTAATCAATTCAGGATAACATATCATAACCTGAAAAACATAACAGAACTTAGTAATGTCTCTGAGCTTCTTAAAGGAAAAACAAGTCCAGGAAAAATCTGTGATAAGAGCAGCAGCCTTCTTTCTATCTCTAACAGCAGCTAGTTGACATGTATTTATATGTATTTATAAGACACATCCATTCACAACATCGACCTACGCTCTAGTGACTCCAGAATATTTTTAAGATAATTAAGGAAATCTGGATATAGGATATTCGATGATGCAATTTTTAATACTTGTCTTATATTTTTAAAGATGAGTGTAGGAATATTTAGTAGTAAAAAGTGATATAACACGAAACAGAGCAGCGGCAGAGGCAGACAGAGCGGTGGCAGAGACGCAGTCCTAATAAAGACCAGAAACTGCGCTATTACACGCTGAGGAGTTAGTGAAAACAAGGAGAATAACACCTGTAACAGGGACGCCTTTAACCCCAGCACCCGGGGAAGGAGCCATCTCCGTGAGACGTGACCAGAACAGATCCGAACACTCAGTCTGAGGCCAACCCAGGGCCCAGCTGCCGATCCTGCGAAACCCAACAACTTGGAAGTGTTGGTGAGATTACCCTACTAAATAATCTGCTCAGCTGAGATACATTCAGGAGAGGATTCAGAATCCTACAGTCTCAGTCTGAGGAAACAAAATCAGCTGAGGAGTTGACAAATGAGCAAAATGTGACCTGAGAACACAAAAGAAGGTGCTGCCCAGCAACTGAACCAGATCACCAGAATCATAAGCCTACACTACATAGACTGGGAATAGGTAAGCCCCCATCTCCACACCAACAGATCAGGTCTCTAGCCCTTAGGACCTACCCATCGGAGTCCAGGGACCAGACAGCTACCTTTCCCTGCTCCCCCACCAAAAAAATTAAATAAATAAATAAATAAATAAATAAATAAACTCCTACGAACCTAACAACCACTGAAACCATAAGCACACCCCGCACCAACTGGGAACAACTGCTCCCTGAGACAGAACCCAATAACACTGATTGGACTAAGCTGCTCCCGAAGAAACAGAGCCCAACAGCACCGATTTAACCAAGAACTCCTAGTGGACCAAGACAATTAGAACAAGAGAGGGACCTTCAGACACAGACACCGCCTATACCGAGCAGAAGAAGAGATGAGTAGATGCCAGTGCAAAAATACAGGCAACAACAAAAAGACCTATATGACAACATCAGAACCTAGTGATTCTACACCTGCAAGACCTGAACATACCAAGGCAGAAAAAGCAGAAGAAATCAATCATAAAAATGACTTTAAGAAGATAATAGAGACCCTTAAAGAGGAAATGAAAAACTCCATTAAAGAGGAAATAAAAAATTCCCTTAAAGAAATGGAAGAAAAAAACAAACAAAAAATTGGAAGAAATCAAAGAAAGCCAAGAAAAAGTAATTAAACAGATGAAGGAAACAATTCAAGATTTGAAAATTGAAAATGAGACAATAAAGAAAACACAAACTGAGGGAATGCTGGAAATAGAAATCCTGACTAAACGAACAGGAACTACAGAAATAAGCATAACCAACCGAATACAAGAGATGGAACAGAGAATCTCTGACACTGAAGACACAATAGAGAAAAGAGATTCGTCAGTCAAAGAAAACACTAAAGACAAAAAAGTCGTAACACAAAACGTCCAAGAAATTTGGGACACCATGAAAAGACCAAACCTAAGAATAATAGGGATAGAAGAAGGAGAAGAATGCCAACTCAAAGGCACAGAAAATATATTCAACAAAATCATAAAAGAAAACTTTCCTAACCTAAAGAAAGAAATACCTATGAAGATACAAGAAGCTTACAGAACACCAAATAGGCTGGATCCAAAAAAAGTCCCCTCACCACATAATAATCAAAACACTAAACATACAGAACAAAGAAAAAATATTAAAGCTGCAAAGGAAAAAGACAAAGTAACATATAAAGACAAACTCATCAGAATAACACCAGACTTCTCAATAGAGACTATGAAAGCTTGAAGGTCCCAGACAAATGTTATGCAGACACTAAGAGACCACAGATGCCAACCCAGACTATTATACCCAGTAAAACTCTCAATCACCATAGACGAAGTAAACAAAATATTCCATGACAAAACCAGATTTAAACAATACCTATCCACAAATTCAGCCCTACAAAAAGCACTAGAAGGAAAAATCCAACTTAAAGAAGTTAAACACACCCATGAAAACTCAGGCAACAGATAATCCCACACCAACAAACACCAAAGGACAACACAACACGACTACAAAAAATAACAGGAATTAACAATCACTGGTTATTAATATCCATCAATATCAATGGTCTCAACTCACCTATAAAAAGACACAGACTAACAGAATGGATAAGAAAACAGGATTCATCCTTCTGTTGCATACAAGAAACACACCTTAACTTCAAAGACAGACACTACCTCAGAGTAAAGAGCTGGGAAAAGGCTTTCCAAGCAAATGGACCTAAGAAGCAAGCTGGTGTAGCTATCCTAATAGCTAATAAAATAGACTTCAAACTAAAATCAATCGAAAGAGATCAGGATGGACTTTACATATTTATCACAGAAAAATCCACCAAGATGAAGTCTCGATTCTGAACATTTATGCCCCAAATACAAAGGCACCCACATTCATAAAAGAAACATTACCAAAGCTTAAAACGCACATCAAACTCCACACATTAGTAGTGGGAGAGTTCAACACACCACTCTCACCAAAAGACAGATCTACCAGACTGAAACTTAACAAAGAAATAAAGGACCTAACAGATGTTATGACTCAAATGGATTTAATAGATATCTACAGAACATTCCATCCTAACACATAAGAATATACCTTCTTCTCAGCACCCCATGGAACCTTCTCAAAAATCGACCACATGCTTGGTCACAAAACAAATCTCAACAGATACAAAAACATTGGAATAACCTCCTGTATCTTATCAGACCACCATGCCTTAAAGTTAGACTTCAACAACAACAAAAATTATAGAAAGCCTACAATCTCATGGAAACTGAATAATGCGCATCTGAAACATCAATGGGTCAAGGAAGAAATAAGAAAGAAATTATAGATTTCCTATAATTCAATGAAAATGAAAGTACAACATACCCAAACTTATGGGACACTATGAAAGCAGTGCTAAGAGGAAAATTCATGGCTCTAAATGCACACATAAAGATGGAGAAATCTCATACCAATGAATTAACAGCACAACTGAAAGCTCTAGAACAAAAAGAAACAAACTCACCCAGGAGAAACAGATGCCAGGAAATAATCAAATTGAGGGCTGAAATCAACAAAATAGAAACCAAGAGAACAATACAAAAATCAATGAAACAAAGAGTTGGTTCTTTGAAAAAAATCAACAAGATAGACAAGCCCATATTCAAACTAACCAAAAGGCAAAGAGAGAGCATCCAAATCAACAAAATCAGAAAGGAAGTGGGAGACATAACAACAGACAATGAGGAAATCCAGAGAATCATCAGGTCATACTTCAAAAACCTGTACTCCACAAAATTGAAAAATCTGGAAGACATGGACAATTTTCTGGATAGGTACCACATACCAAAGTTAAATCAAGACCAGATAAACCATTTAAATAGATCAATAACCCCTAAAGAAATAGAAAGTCATCAAAAGTCTCCCAACCAAAAAAACCCCAGGACCACATGGTTTCAGTGCAGAATTCTACCAGACTTTCAAAGAAGTATTAATATCAATACTCTTCAAATTGTTCCACACAATAGAAACAGAAGGAACACTACCAAACTCTTTTTATGAGGCTACAATCACCGTGATACCCAAACCACACAAAGATGCAACAAAGAAAGAGAATTACAGACCAATCTCCCTCATGAACATTGATGTAAAAATACTCAACAAAATATTGGCAAACGGAATCCAAGAACACATCAAAAAAAGTTATCCACCATGACCAAGTAGGTTTCATCCCAGGGATGCAAGGATGGTTCAACATACAAAAATCTGTCAATGTAATACACCATATAAACAAACTGAAAGAAAAAAACCACATGATCTTCTCATTAGATGCTGAAAAAGCCTTTGACAAAATCCAACACCCCTTCATGATAAAGGTCTTAGAGAGATCAGGAATACAAGGAACATTCCTAAATATAATAAAGGCAATTTACAGCAAGCCAACAGCCAACATCAAATTAAACGGAGAGAAACTCAAAGCAATTCCACTAAAATCAGGAACAAGACAAGGCTGTCCACTCTCCCCATATTTATTCAATATAGTACGTGAAGTTCTAGCTAGAGCAATAAGACAACAAAAGGAGATCAAAGGCATAGAAATTGGAAAAAAAGAAGTCAAATTTTCACTATTTGCAGATGATATGATAGTATACATAAGTGACCCCAAAAATTCTACCAGGGAACTCCTACACCTGATAAACTTCTTCAGTAATATGGCAGGATACAAGATCAACTCAAAAAAATCAATGGCCCTCCTATACACAAATGATAAAAGGGCTGAGAAAGAAATCAGAGAAACATCGCTGTAGCTAGAGTTTGCCTGCCTGGCCCAGGGTCAGGACAAATCTCTCTCACCTGCCAGTCCCACAGCCTCTCAGACCCGACCAAGTAAACACAGAGACTTACATTGGTTACAAACTGTATGGCCGTGGCAGGCTTTTTGCTAACTGTTCTTATAGCTTAAATTAATCCATTTCCATTAATCTATACCTTGCCACATGGCTCGTGGCTTACCGGCATCTTCACATGTTGTTTGTCATCATGGCAGCTGGCAGTGTCTCTCTGATTCAGCCTTCCACTTCCCAGCTTTATTCTCCTCCTTTTCCCGCCTATACTTCCTGCCTAGCCAATGGCCAATCAGTGTTTTTTATTGACTAATTAGCAACACATTTGCCATACAGAACATCCCACAGCATTTCTACTCTTACACACCCCTAGATAGAACCAGTGAGGAATAGCACTAATGAACAGACTATAGTATTTCTTAGGATGCTTGACTTCATGGAGAGATTCATGAAACATATTTCTCTCCAGTAAAATGCACATCCAAGCTAGTTTCAGTTACTGGCTCCTCAGCTTCTTTCAAAACCCTGCATGAGTTCAGTGTTAAGAACCTTTGCCTGAAACATATGCTTTAAAAATCCCTACAAATTGAGAGAATTGTTTTGTTTCCTTACTATTTCAGCCACTGTAACATTTATGGCAACATTAGCTTGCTTTTCAGTGAGATGCCAATCAAAGACATAAAACAAAACTCATTTTGGTCATTGGGGGCAGGGTGTGAGAGTGTGTGTGTGTGTCACTTAATTTTCAATATTTGAGCAATTCAAATACATAAAATCTTAATTAATTAATATAAGATTAATTAATACACTATAATCTTAAGAATACTAAGAACAGGGGCTGGAGAGATTGCTCAGAGTTTAAGAGCACTGGCTGCTCTTCCAGAGGTTCTGAGTTCAATTCGAAGCAACCACGTGGTGGCTCACAACCATCTATAATGAGATATGGCAGGAATACATGTAGGCAGAACACTGTATACATGATAAATAAATAAGTCTTTAAAAAAAAAAAGAATATAAAGAACACAGCCCAAAGGAAGACTTAAGAAACCAGGTTTCCCAATAGTCATCTGTGATTCTACAGATTTTCCTATTAGTGTTTTTAACTAAATTTTAAGATGCTCTGCAAGAATAAAGCTACTTGGAGGGAGAGGCAATGAAAAAAAACTTAGGAGTTAAGGAAATCCAGGAGAAACAATACATTTGAAACTAAATATAAGGACTCTCCTCAACAATCCAAGTGTTCAGTAAAGAATATATATCATCCTCCAAGTTTCCCATTAACAAACAAAACAATTCCCATTCATTTGAGAAAGGGACTCTACACAGTACTGTGAAAACTGTAAAAGAAAAAAATACTGTAAAAACCAACCTTCTTCTCTGAGATGCAGAGAATATTAAGTATGAACATAACTGTTCTTGGCAGTTTAAATACGTAAGCAGCTTCCACTAGAATCTAGTTGCTCTTTCACGGGCATAAAACTACTGTTATACAACTTCTGCTTCTATGTGAAAGGCAAAGGACAGAGGATTTTTTTCAAGGTCATTATAAGTATTACACTTCCGGGTTCTGCTACTCTGGCAACTGTTACATGTGGGCAGCTAGCCAATTTTCAAAACACAACAAAATGCCTACGTGCCAACTGTGGCGCCTGTATGTGTGTCTTTTAAAACAGCACCAGCCAGGAGTCCTACCTTTTCTCCTTTCCCCACTCTCTGCTAGGGGAAAAAAACAGGGGGGGAAGGGGGCTGCTCCAACTCAGGGTCAACTAGTCTCTGAAGAGTTGTGGTTAATGTAGTTCCCTGCACCCCCGCCCCTCCCCCGCCCCACTCTGCCCCGCATCTCGATTTTCCCAGGCTGCAGAAAGATCTGTGGGTCCATAGAAGCTCTGAAAAGGTTCCCGAGGACCACAACCCCAGTATGCTTTGCGCCTCATATCAGGTGTGGCCAGCGCGCCTGCGCCACTTTGAGCAGCCAGTTATTCGCGTCAGCAGCAGTCCTGTTCTGTCGCCGGGGTACCGGTCAGGGTTCAGAAAGATGTGGGTGTTTGGTTACGGGTCCCTCATCTGGAAAGTGGACTTCCCCTACCAGGACAAGCTGGTTGGTTACATCACGAACTACAGCCGGCGCTTCTGGCAAGGCAGCACTGACCACCGCGGGGTTCCCGGCAAGGTAAGGAACCAGCCGCATGCCCAGCTACCGGGAGGGATAACTCTCTCAGCAACATCCTGGGCCACCTACTCTCACCTCTCTCCAGAGCATGGACACCCTGAGGTCAGTTCAGAAGTCCATGGTTAGTTTCTTAGGCACAATGCAAGGGCACAGGCACACAAACTCGCACGAGGCTGAAGTGGCCAGGCAGCCCCCTTGTCTTGGCAACCTCTGTCTCACCACAAAAATTAATAAAGATTAATTTTCATGTCACCACATAATGTGTAAATTCGTTGATATGTCTACATTATGCCAGGTTTTTACTTGTTTGAATTTACATGTGCCTGTAAATTTCTAGGGTTTATCCCTGCAATGTTTTAGTTTAAAGACACCTAAGAACATAAAAGAATTAATTTCCAAGGTTATTTCCGATTATTTTGTGATTATTGGTAAATTATTTTGATTGGGAGGTATAAGCAAAGTTATGTGAGGTCTGCAGTTTGTTATGAATAATCAATGCAAAATCTACATTACTTTAATGGTTCCTTCTCCATAGTTCTCTTGGATGATTAATGTGAAATACAAATCGTCTGATCTATTTTCCAGTTGGTCATATAAAGCATTCACCTCAATATGGGTTCAGAGAATTAAAAGCAGCTCACTGCTTATCAAACCAACTTTGCATTGGCTGCAAAACAACTAATCTGTGAAATAAAAAATAAAACAAGTATGAAGTAACTAGTAACTTGTTTAACTTCTAACCTTTAGAGGACTACATTTTGAATGCTACTGTGTTCTCTAAAATATTCTTAAAATTCGCCTACCCTACTGGTCTGTAATCCCAAAGAGGATCACAAGTTTAAGACTTGCCTAGACCTCAAACTCAGAAATTTAAAAGGGACTGAAGCAATAGCTTAGTAGACTAGCACATGTAAGGCCCTGTGTTCAATTCCCAGCACCATTTTAAAAAATACTCTAAAGCACAATACTCTGAAATGCTGAAAGCCAGCTATCAGAAGAGATTCTTGGAAGGGGAAAGATCAAGGTTCTGAAATATTTGTACCTACCCAAAAGATACAGGCTTGAAATCTTGAAAAGCATCTGAGTTAGACCCATTCTAACCCGAGTTTGTCAATTAAGAATTAAGTAGACTTTCTTGGCCTATTGAAACCCAAACAGAAGGCAAATATTTATTTACAGGCAAACAGAAACATCATAACCAAAGAATTTTCAAGAATATTATAAAACAATATTCAAGACATTAAAGAATTAAACCAAAGAAAATGCCTTTGGGTATCAATTTTGATATATAAAAACCTTAAGGTAGGTTTTCATTTTAATGACCAAGCATTAAGCAGTCATATTTATGGTTATAACTGCATATTTTACGACCTAGGCTCAACCAAAATATATGTTTCTTACAAAACACATTAAGATATATATGTATTGCCAGGCAGACTACTGGTAAGAAATTGTCTAATCAATATACTAGTTGTTTAAAAGTCCATGTTTTTATGCTCTACATATCACTTTAAAAAGTAAGACTAGAGGTCAGGCATAGTGGTACATGCCTTTAATTCCTGCACTTGGGAGGCAGAAGCAAGTGGTTCTCTGTGAGGTCAATGCCAGCGTGGTCTACATAGTGAGTTCCAGGACAGCCAGAGCTACATAGTAAGACCCTGTCTTGGGAGTGAGGGGTACGGGGTGTCCATCAGTCTTTTTAATAAAAGAGGCCAGTGATGTGGTTCATCAAGTAAAGGACAGAACTGACTCCTACAAGATGTCCTCTGACGTCTACACACAAGCTGTGGCACAGTGCTCACACATAAAGTAAATAAATGTTTAAAAAAAAAAAAAGAAGGAAAAAGAAAGAGGAGAAGAGATCTATAAAAGCCACTATTTCTTTGTGCTTAAACTTACTGAGACTTAGGAAAGGAAAGCTAGGGCAGGGAACTGCACTGGCTAACAGTTTTACACCTTTCACTAAAAGAAAAAAAAATCCATCCTAGAAAATTAAAGGAAATATTTAGTATAAATATATTCCAAGTACAGTATTATGTTAAAGAACTAGGCAAAACATCATAATTTGACTTCATGTTTTTATTTACATTTATCTAAATGTTAACCATCTGGACAAGAATACAAATGGCAACAGAACTATTCAGCAACTTGGAACGGCTCAGGTATTACTCAGGACATAAGCTATGTCTTATAAGAAGGCGGATACACAGATGTAAGGTTTACTTCCACATAATGCAGCAGAGAAAACAGTATGTTGAATTTCTTCCTAAGTTTTTGTTTGTTTGTTTGTTTTTAGAGACAGTCTCACTACATAGCCTGGAAGTCACTAGGTGGATCAAGCTGACCTCAAACTCAAAAGAGATTCAACTTCCTCGGCCTGTCAGAGGGCTGAGATTAAAGGCCTGTGCCACCATACCTGGTTCCTAAATTTACTTAAGTATATACTTATCACAAAACTGATTGTTTCTCAACAAAGTAAAGATTTGACTTAAAGAAATTGTCTCCAAAATATAATATAACTGCAAAACAGGAAACTTGTTTTATTTTGTTTGATACAGAATCTTATATAGCCCAGGCTGGCTTTGAATTCGCTATATAGCAAACATGACCATGAATTCTGAGACTCCTGCCTCCACCTCCCAAATCCTCTAAGTACAAGTATATATCACCACACTACTCATATAAATATAAATATTTTCATTTTTAAAAGACTAGTCCAAATAGAACACTCGTAGCACTATCCCTGTTACTTTATTTTATTTTCCAGACAAAAGAAAGAAAATATGAGTAATTTTCAAATGCTGAAATTAAAACAGCAAACTACCCTACATCACCCAGCACATCTGTAAACATGTACTAAATCCTTAACTTTTCTAGATTAAAAGCATTCCTTGCTGGGCAGTGGTGACGCACGCCTTTAATCCCAGTACTTGGGAGGCAGAGGCAGGCGGATCTCTGTTGAGTTTGAGACCAGCCTGGGCTACAGAGTGAGTTCCAGGAAAGGCACAAAGCTACACAGAGAAACCCTGTCTCAAACCCCCCCCCCAAAAAAAAAGCATTCCTTATCACCCAATAAAAACACCAGTTGTGACTTATTAATAAAACATCTTCAAATCATATTCAGCTTGAAAGACCTCTTCTTAACCACATATGGTGATGCACAGTTGTAATCACTAAACTGAGGAGGCTGAGGCAAGAAGATTGCCACTTTGGGGTCAACCTGGGTGACACAGTTATCCTTTCTTGTCTCAAAAATGAAGACAGGAAAGGAGGGGGCAACTTGTAGCTCAGTTAATGCAGATTCCTAGTGCCACATAAACTGGGATGTGGGAGAACCTCACTCCTATATTCAGGATAGAAGCAGGGAAATCAGAAGTTAGTCCTAGATCATCCTCAGCTACATAGTGAATACCAGGCTAGCCTGAGCTACACAAGACCTTGTCTTAAAAATATAAAGTAAGGAAAGACCCCTTTATTCAGTTTCATTGCTCCCTAACAAAGAAGGCATTTAAAACTTAACACTGTTTTTCAAATGTTCAAAGATGTGACTGTCTGTAGAGTTATAAATAAGAGTTCTAAGTAAGTCAGTACAACTTGAGGGGAAAGGTGGAAAAGAATGGGGTTTGTAGTTTAACAAAGCACTTTTGGTTTTATTCTATAGAATATCACAGCCTTAAAAGATTTAAAGCCAAAAAGTTGTTCTTGGCTCTCAATGGAATGGGAGTAAGCAAAATCAAGAGACAGGCAGAGAAATCTCTAAAGAGATGACTGAATGATAGAAAAGAACCAAACTGTGGTGAAGAGATGGCTCTGAGGTTAAGAGCTCATAGTGTTCTTACAGAGAACCCAAATTCAGTTCCCAGCACCCACAATGGGCAGCATACAACTGCCTGTAACTCCAGCTACAAGAGGGATCTGATGACTTCTGGCCTCATAGGCACACTCCCAAATGCAGGCACAGACATATAATTTTTAAAATATTTACTATTTACAGTGGGAAGTAGTATACATACACATAATTTTAAAAGACAAAACTATCAAGAATTAGATGAGCTGGCCAGAAGAGAAGTTCTGCTGGAATGCAGAACTTGTCACCCTGACTGCAGGCATTTCTCATTCTGCATTCCATTTCTTCTTCCTTCCATTGTAATTATTGTACATTTTACCAATCTGATATTCCCAAAATACTTCTTCCATCATATCAATAACCTGCTACCTAAGTGCTGCAGTTTCAGTTTCTAATTTCTCCCACATTTCAGTGGCTTCCTGTTTCCACTGTTCCACTAACTTCAATTCTGCATTTTTATTTATTTATTTATTTATTTATTTATTTATTTATTTATTTATTTATTTATTTATTTATTTATTTTAAAGCTCAAGGCCCAAGATAGGCAAGTATTTACTTCTGCTACCAACACTATGAGCTCTCCATTCCCTAAAATCTGCTCTGGCTTTACAAATCTGACTCTATGTCATCTTTCTGAATCATCTCTTACATGGCATGCTACAAGCAGCAGTCTGGTAAGGCTGAGACAGAAAGATCACCAGGAATTGAAGGCAAGCCTGGCTACATAGTGAGTTCCAGTACAGCCTGGGTTACAGACTGAAAACTATCTCAAAAGAATAATTGATTAATTCAAGTTTAATTAATTAAAATGCACTTAGGGTGGTATAGTCCTGCCAGATAGTCTGTCTCATATAAGAACAGTTAGAAAAAAAATAGACCAATTCTAAGCCAGGCATGGTGGTGCATACCTATAATCATAGCACTTCAAAGGAAGAAGCAGGAAAAACCGTTCAAACCAAGCCTTAGCTACATAGCAAGTTTGAGGCCAATCTGGGCTATATGAGACTTTGTCTCAAAAATAAATAGACAAAAACAATGCCAATTCTAGTATTAGCCACTCGATGAGTCCATGTGACATTCATTTATGAAGGTATAAAAACACTACCTTGAAGCATCCTTTAGCATAAATACAAAGGTAAAAGCACCTCATAGCCACAGGTGAAAATCATTCATACATACCTGAGACCCAAGTATAGCCTAGTAGTGGTTCTGAAAGCATGAACCAATCGTTTCACTAAGCATACTATTACAAATACCTATTATCAGGCTCCAGACCTACAGAGTCAGATCTAGTAGGGGTGTGGTCCAGCAATGCTTTAATCTATTCCCTAAGTAAAGTGCTTCTTACGACAGATATAGTAAAACTTTATTCTATGTCAAGTTGCTAATGTTTAGTTATTTAATGAACTTTAATTCAGAAAAAAAAATATTTTCTACCTTTTTCAAAACAGCCTGGAAGAGTTGTGACTCTTGTTGAAGATCCTGGGGTATGGTATGCTTATTTTTTACATAGTCTTAAATAAAATGTTAGCTTTCTGTGTTTTAATAATCAGTGAAATTTTATTGTTCAACATAGAAAATTTGAATTAAACTAAGTCTAGAACTCTTTTCTGTATTTGCTTTCTGGTTTTTGTTTTGTTGGTTTGGGGGGGGTTGGTTGTTAGTTTGTTTGGTTTTGGTTTTTGGTTTTGGTTTTTTGGTTGTTTAGTTTTTTGCGGGGGGAGGTTTAGAGACAGGGTTTCTCTGTGTAGCCCTGGCTGTCCTGGAACTCACTTTGTAGACCAGGCTGGCCTTGAACTCAGAGATCTGCCTGCCTCTACCTTCTAAGTACTGGGATTAAAGGCATGTGCCACCACTGCTGGCTGCTTTTCTGTATTTGTTGTGAAGGGTTTTTTTGTTTTTGGTTTTGGTTTTGGTTTGGTTTTGGTTTGTTTTTTAGTGTTTGTGGAAAATGAATCTAGAGAGAAAGTTACAATTAGAACACACGGTAACAACAAAATACAACCAAGTGATATGTAATCTCCTTTTTACAACTTTTCTAAGTGAGTTTGGTAAATGAGAATTTTGTGATCCTCTTTCATAATAATCGGGTCAGGCTCCCCACAGCGAGATCATGACTAAGAATTAAATAGAATTTTTATAGCTCTCTTGAACTTTGCCTGGAATCTAGTATTTTTTCAACAAAAAACTAAAAACTTCTTACTGATTTTATATACAGTACTTGTGATTTTTAAACGAGTTTGAAGCACTCAAAACTTAAATGGACAGTGCCCAGTTTCTTTAAACTTGGGAAGAAAATTATACAAAACAAAACTCAAGCAGCACCAAAGTGCCACCTGCCTATAATCAGACGAGGCAGATGGATCACAAGTTCAAGGCCAGCCTTGTTCAAAAAACTAGTCCTGATCTGAAAAAAAAATTTTTTTGGTTTTTTCGAGACAGGGTTTTTTCTCTGTGTAGTTTTGGTGCCTGTCCTGGATCTCACTCTGTAGACTAGGCTGGCCTCGAACTCACAGAGATCTGCCTGGCTCGGCCTCCCAAGTGCTGGGACTAAAGGTGTGCGCCACCACCGCCTGGCTCCTTATCTGAAAATTAAAAAATAAAAATAAAAACTGCTAGAAGCATTAATTATAGTCTGGATTACAAAACGCTTCCAGCAATTTATAGTGGGAGAGGCATCTAAAAGTACCTTATACTCAAACCAGCACCTGTAACTCCTAGACAACAAATGGCACTTTCCTTCCACAGAATTTCCTAATGACCAGCAAACACTTGATATTAGTTTAAAAATAATACCTAATATAAAAATTTGATGGAAGAGACCTATCATTCTGTGCTTGATACAAATCAATTACTTATTCAGAATAAAGGTTTTAAATGCTGTTTTCCTTAATTGTTTACTCTCTACCCCTTTGAGGCACTTGGAAACAAAACTGCATTGACTTCCATGACTACAAAATATCCTAGGTCATAACGTATCTTC